CTAGCTAACACTGCGAATTACACAATCAAGTCAGGCTGTGGCAGTCATGGCTAGTTGGAGAGAAGGGAGGCTCAGGGGCCTCTTACCTGGGGAGAACCTTTGGCCAATTCATGGACGCTTGCATTCACCACTCAAGCAGCTGCATGCTAATCCCCAGAAGGTGAGAGGAAAAGGAATCTCAGATATGGCCTCACTGAAATATGTGAAGTTAGAAAGTGGCTCTCTAAGGAGCCCTGGGATCAGAGGGAAAGCAAAGCCACCATCTTGACCATGGCAATGAAAGCAGCAGCCAACCCTTCCACCAGCACAGCAAAGCTATAGAGAATGTTCTCTCTTCTTTGTCTATAAAAGATTCTAGGGCTCAGAAACATGAAGCAATCTGTCTGACATCACTCAATGGGTTAAGAGCTCTAATGGGAACATAATCAAGTCTTGCAGCGTCATTTTGCTGTCAGCACAGATTATAGCTGTGCCCATCGGCCATTGGCAGGAAGTATCTCAAAGCCTCGGTCTCTGGCCCTGTTCAGCTTGCCTGTCCAGGTCAGCTGAAATGACTCAAGAGTGTGCAGTCAGAGGCAATAGGTTCATTAAAAAAATTTGAGTGTTTTCTAGAATAAAAATAAAACCTCTGTAAGATGACAAAACACTAGCTAGTCTAATTTTTAAAAAAGATTTTAAAAATACACAAAATTAGGAAAGTGGAAAATATCACAAAGACAGAAGGTATTAATTATAAGGAAATGTTTTGTACCACTCAAAGCAGTTAGTAGGAAAATCTGAACTATTACTAGGAGATTATAAATTATCAAAATTGACTGAAGGAGAAATTTTTAAATCTAAAAACCGATAATACTGAAGGAAATTGAGAAAGTTAACACTGAGCCTTCAATGAATAGATGTTTAAAATATGTAATTGCATGACATTATGTTTTATTATTCTCACGTCATAAATTGTATGCAAAATATAGAGCAAGAAGGAAAACTCTAAGAGAAAGTTGCTAAGAGGGTAGATCTTAAAAGTTCTCATCACAAGGAAAAAAAATTATAGCTATGGTGTGGTGATGGATGTTACTACACTTATTGTGGTGTCATTATGCAATATATACAAATATCAAATCACTATGTTGTATACCTGAAACTAATATAATGTTATACATTAATTATATCCCAATGAAAAAAGAAGGACATCTCTTTAGTTCTTTTCATGAATAAAACTGATATTCATCTCACAAAGGCAGACAATAACAAGAAAACCATAGGGCAGCGGTTCTCAAACTTTTTAGTTGCAGGGTACCTTTACAGTTTGAAAAAATCATTGACAATTCTAAAGACCTTCTCTTCCTGTGAGTGATATTTACCAATAGTTAGCATATTAGAAATTAAAGCATAAGTTAAAAGAAATATTTGTTAATTTACTTAAGATAACCATAATAAAAATATTAAGTATTAACATGAACAACATATTTATTCAAATAACTACATTTTCGAAAAGAAAAAATTTAAATAAGACTGGTATTGTTTCACATTTTCTTGAAACTGTTTAATGTCTGGCTAAAATAGAAGACAAGCGGGATTTTCTGCTTTTTACATTCAGTCTGTTGAGATATCACAAGTTATGTAGCCTTTGGAAAACACTGTACACTTTTGAGAGAATGAGAGTAAAAAGGAAGAATGATGTCTATGCATTACTAGAAAAGTAGTTTTGACTTTGCTGATCCTCCTGAAAGGATCTTGGAAGTCCCCAGCAGTCTCCGGATCACATTTTGAGAACCTCTGCTATAGGTCTATCTCAATTATGAATATTGATGCAAAAATCTAAGTGAAAATTAGTAAACAGAATCCAGCAGTATGTCAAAAGATGAATGCATTATGTCCAAGTGGGATTTGTTTCAGGAATGTAGGAATGTTAGGAATTCTATTAATATGGATTTAATACATTAATAAATCAAAGGAGAAAATAACTTAATCATTTTAGTAGATGCTAAAAAGTGTTTCACAAAATTCAATATTAATTCTGATTGAAAAATCATAGGAAAGTGGATACGATAAAATAAATATATCTCTATCCAACAGCCAGCCTCATGTTTAGTTAAAATATGGCAGAGACACAATGAGGGGGCAAAACTTTCCTGAGCACTCTGGGAGCTCAAGTTCTGCCTGGGGAGATGGATTGCCCATCACTGTGGTGAACGGGGAAGTAGCAGCAGACCCTGATGGATGTTGGAGGCGGCAGCTGAAGAATGAATGATTACCTAGTTTAAACCATCAGCTCCCACCATGTTCCATTCCCTGAGTGTACTTACATATTGGTGCAATGAGCAGCGGTGACTACCCAGGTCTTCCCAAGGATGGTCCCTCCACAGAGATGCCTGGTGGCAATCTGCAGACTAACCTACATTGGCCAGGAGCTGGCTGTGGCCTCCTTGCCTCCCACAATCTGGCTGGAAAGTAATCTGGAAGGGGACGGTTAAGCAGCTCCGCAGAGGCCACCTGGGAAGGGGCCAAGAAGACCCATGTTTATTACTCAGGGATCCTCCTCACCATCAAGCCCGGATTACAATCTCTGAGCATCACCCTTGTGCCAGGCACTCTAATAGACAACTCGGATTAATTAGAAGTACCTATTATATTCTAGAGAGATAAAAAAAATATACACACTACTGAAAGTGGGTGTTATATCCAAGAAAACCACTAAAATTTCAGGCTCACCCTTGACATCTCCCTTTTTTTGCTCCAACTATGCAGTCTCCAAACCCTTCAGATTCTATACCTATATATCTTGCATCCACCTTTTACCTTTGGGCTCAGATCCTCCATATTGCTCACCTGGACTACTCTCCCTGCAGTTAATCTTTTCCTGTCCTCCTCACGCTCCCAAATCAACCTCCCCAAAGTGCTGTTTTGGTTGTGTCACTCCCTTGATCAAAACCATCCAAGGTTCCCCACAGCACATGGAATCATGTTGACATCCTACTTACCCTTGCAGGCCCAAATCAAATGCCAGTTTCCTAATCATCTCATCCAGAAGTTATTTCAGTGTCTTCTTGTATTATGGTTTTCTGTACACTTTTTAATTTTGTTGTGAATTTTATTGAAATATTACATACACACAGAAAAATACTCAAGTAGTAAAGTACTTTGAATGAATTTTCAAAAAGCATAACCAGAACGCAGATCAATAAACAGATTAGCAGAATCCCAGAAGACCCATCAAGAGCTGTTCCAGTCACTCCTCCTCCGAAGGGTAATTGCTCTCTTGACATCTCACACTATATGTTAGTTTTGAATGATTTTAGTTTTAAGTAAATGGAAGTCATACAATATCAACTATTTGTACACCTAATTTTCATTATTAGGATATAAATTCCTTGAAGATAGGCACTATATCTTCTTCCTCTATGCACCCTCCTCCCCTATGCCCTAGAGATTTGTACAGAGAAGGCACCAAATGAGTAGTAAGCCGGTGTGACAGGATGTCAACAATCGATGAATATTAGTGAAGGATAAATAGGTGCTCATTGTACTATTCTTTCACTTGTTTTGTAGATTTGCAAAATTTCAAAATAAAAAGTGAAGGATAAAATTGCACATTGAATGACTTACGTAACCCAGGTTAGGTGTGCTATTTAAAACAGGGCACATGTAAACTCTTTTTCTTGTCCTTCTCAAGTTGTTATGTGTATTTGTACAAAGGGAGAAGGCCCTAAAGTAGGTGTGAGTTCAGAGAGAGAAAATCAGGAAAGTCTCTCTTACTGAGGTTTTGTATCAGGAGCTATTCGTGGACTATTTAATTTTACTCACCAAATATTTATTTGGCATCTACTGTGTTCTGGGCACTGCGGTAGGTGCTGGGGACAAAATGATGAATAAATCTTGCAGAGTGTTGTAATGAGACTCCTTAGAAAATATTGTGCTTGGTTTAAGCTGAGAAAAGTGACTTTGCTGACTGTACCCCCACGGTGGCAAGAGAAGGAACTGCGGCAGCCACACTTTACCAGGATTTTATACTCAGGGCATCGATGTATCATGAGGTCCAAGAAGCCAGAACAGAACGACTCAGACTGCATCCATCTCTTCTCATTAAAAGGAATATTCACCTTCCATACTCTCTATTATCCTGTGTTTTACATGTCAGATACTTTGTAAAACTAAAAAAAAAAAAATTAAAACTAAAATTAAAAATAATGTGCTAGATCTTTCTCTTGACAAACTATCAAAATGACAAACTACAAAAGTTTCTGTACCCTCATCCTCTGCCTGCTCCCCTCACCACATTGTCCACATGGACCAAGATCTTGCACACATATATCAGTGGATGTGATGGCGGAAACAAGAAGAGAAAGTTCAGCACTTCTCAATGGTCATTTCTTAATGTCATTTAATGGCATTAAAAAGTAGTGGTATCCTCACTGTTTTTCAGTGGATGGATCTTATGAGTCAAGCCACAATTTGGCACGTGATTTACAATTCCCACCAAATGAATGACTTGGGATGGGAATTTTGATTCTTGTAACTGGAAATATTTCAGCATTGCTTTGAGCAAGAGGGACAATGACCACAGCCCACAGAGCTCTATGCAATGGCTCTTTTGATGTGTCAACTTGGCTTGGCTACAGCCCCCAGTTATTCAATCAAACTTTAATCTAGATGTTGCTGTGAAGGGATTTTGCAGATGTAATAAAGGTCCCTAGTCAGCTGACTTTAGGTGAGGAAGATTATCCTGGATAATCTGAGTGGGCCTCACTTAATTAATTAGAAAGGACTGAAAAGCAGAGCTGAGTCATCCCCAAAAGAGAGAAGAATTTCTGCCTGTAGAGAATAGCTTCAGCCCACGCCCGGGCAACTTTGGTGTCCTTCCCTTTCTGACTGCCTGCCCTATGGATTTACTTCTTAGTCAGCCCCCACAATTGTGTAAGCCAGTTCCTGGTGTGTTAGTTTGCTAGCCCTGTCATAACAAAATATCACAAACTAAATGGCTTAGAACAACATAAATTTATTGGGTCACAGTTTCGGAGGCCAGAGGTCTGAGACCAAGGTGTTGGTAGGGTTGATTCCTTCTGGGGGTGGTGATGGAGAATCTGCTCCATGCCTCTCTCCTAGCTTCTGGTAGTTTATTGGCAATCTTTGGCATTCCTTGGCTTATAGATGATGCATCACCTGATCTCTGGCTTCATGTTCATATGATGTTCTCCCTGCGTGTGTGTCTCTGTCTGCATCCAAATTTCCCCTTTTATAAGGACATCAGTCAGATTAGGTCCACACTATTGACCTCATTTCAACTTGATTACCTCTATAAAGACTATGTCTCCAAATAAGGTCACATTCTGAGGTACTGGAGGTTAGGACTCCACCGTATCTTTTTGGGGATTTCTGGTTGAACCCCGGCTGATACACTCTGTGTGTATCTCTTGGTCCCATTCCCAAAAAGAGCTTACCAGAAGCATTGGGTTCTTCAGATAGTACATTCTGTGTCTCCACAAACATTGACTCATCCTCTGATCTGGAGATGTTTAAATCTGGATGTAAGCATAATACAATTGCTCAGATCACAGACAAGGCCAGTATTTGGGACTTATCAGAAAATTATTATTGTTAGGATTCTGGGGCATCTCAGTCAGCTGAACTCTATGGGTATTTTAACTGTAAAGTGCAGTATTTTAACTATAACCTTGCTTTGCCATAAGCAGTTGCTTACCGCCTAACAAGAATGAACAACTTGAGAAGCCGATAACTGGCTTTGTGGAATTTGGACAGAATGCTCATGGGTGTGAGGGCGTGGAAGGAAGCTGTGTAGCTCAGGTGTTTAGGGACTGGGGGTTGGTGAAGATATTTCGCATTTCTGAGCCTCTGTTATGTGGCCAAGCATACCCTAACTGAGTTGATCCTCACTACATTCTTACCAGGCATGTATTATTCTCCCATTGGAAGGTTGAAGAAAATATCTTAGATGACTCTTTCTTAGATCACACATTTATAAAAATAGGCCAAGATTCAGACATATAGTTGATCCTCTTTCTTTATGGATTCTGTATTTGCAAATTCATCTACTCGCTAACATTTATTTGTGACTCAAAACCAGTACTCATGGTGCTTTCACAGTCACTCATGGACATGTGCAGAGCAGTGAAAAATTTGAGTCACCTGATGCCCGTGTTCCTAGCTGAGGTCTAACGAGGTGACACTCTGCCTTCTTGTTTCAGCTTTCATACTCTAAACAAGTGTTCTTTCCATGGTCTGTTTAGTGCCACCAATTTTTTTCTTGCATTTTTGTGTTTTTTGTTGGTGATTTGGCTGTTTAAAATTGTCCTAAACAGTGCTGAAGTGCCTCTCGTGTTCCTAAGTGTGAGGAGGCTGGGATGTGCCTTATGGAGAAAATAAGTGTGTTAGGTAAGCCTTGTTCAGGCACAAGTTATAGTGGTGAGTTCACTATATTGGCTGTGAGTTCAATGTTAATGAATCAACAATATATATTAAATAAGGTGACTTTAAACAGAAACTCATATAAAACCAGGATCATAGGAACCTAGCTCTGTTTTCCCCCCAAGGAGCAGTGGCTCATATTCACTAATTCAGTGTTCCTGGTGGCTTCATAGAACAGAACTGCTGCCAACAATGAGAATTGACTGTACCCATGTTGGGCTCTAAAGGCTGCCCTTTATTACCACATTGTGAGGATGAGAATTGAAACCCGAGGCATTGGTGCCCCATCTTCTTACCTTTTTCAGGAATGAACGAGACTGTGGCCTGAAAGCCTCTGAAGGTCACATTTCCATCCGACTGGAAACTGATGAGCATTACACCGGAGGAGCTCAGCACAGGGGCGGGTGCATCAAAGCCACACAACCGAGCTGGATCAAACCCAGCCCAGGCAAGACAGGGTCAAGAGTACAGCAAGTAGATACGGCATTGGATAGAAGAAAAAATTTGTCCTTCAGGTAATTGTTGAGAAATAAATTTTCTGGTGGGCGTCACAATTCATTTTCAAAATAGAAAAGCAGTTTGCTTCTTCTTAATATGTATTTAATCCCATCAACATTTCAATTCTGTTTGTCTACCAAATGCTCCCACTGGGAATGCCACTAAGGGAATTGGTTCTAGCCACTGGGTTTATCTCAATGGCACTTTCCCTTTGCAGCATGACCCCTAGTTCATTGTGGCCTTCCACATTTTCTGTTCAAATGGTTCTTTGATTCTCCATCTCACTCTTCCTGGCCCTGATGTGGGAGAAGGAATGGTGATGAGACCATAGGGAGGGATGGAGGTAGTGCAGAGGAATGAAGGAAAATTGAGCCAGATCCTTTTTATCCTTGGAAAGGAATGGGTCCAAATGCAAACTAAGGAAGCTGAGGCTCTAGGGGAACAAACCTATTTCCGTCTTCCCTTCTACATCCCTGTGCACTGTCACAAAGTCGGAAGAGCAGTCTCCACTTTCTTCTATTTCCAGGCTCTGAAAGGAAAGCTGAGAAGACTCAATATTACATCCAGAGTAAATAATATGAATGAATTACCTGATTTTGATTAATCAGAAAAATGTGGATTGCTCAACTTGCTCTGGAATGTGACCTCAGATGAGCAAGTGAGTGGGGCATTCATGAATGGGTTAAATTACTTAGGAAAAGATGCTACATCATGGGCTCCCAAACCTTCTGAGATATCTAAGCTACCAAATATGGGCTGAATATAAGGGTGGGGAAATGTGCAAATATTTGAGTTCCCTCGCAGCTCTAAGAGACCAGAAGAGCCATCCCATGGAGATTTTTCACTGGAAGCAACTAGGCTTTGGGTTATACAAGAAATCTGTGAACACCCAGCTGCTTCTCTGAACATCTTACTGTTGTACACTTGGTTCCTGATATTTCATCTTGAACCTCCAGTTCTCCTGAATCAAGACTGAAGGTGGTTGTTCCCCTTGGAGACTGTGTCTTTCTACTTGGCAGGATATATTTGGCCCCTATTCCCATGCGCCTTGTCTTGCTGCCAACAAATCTCTATGACTCACTGACAAATTCTGATATGGCACAGATATCAGTGAGTGTTGAGTGCTGATGTAAAACAAAAGATCATCTGAGCTACTAAGAGCATTTGCAAAGGTGGTCTCAGAGTCAACACAGAAAACTTTGAGAAGTCATGGACATGTGTGAAAACGGAAATCCTAGTATGGGTTAGAGACATTTGATTTTGGATACTAAGCTTAAATGTAAACTTCAGCAAAATTCTAGAGTAGATTCTTAAACACATGATGTGTAATACTCTAGAAAAGAAAGATGATTACTTGGGACCAGCCTGGGCTCACCAAGAATAAATCATGACAAATCTTATTTCCATCATTTCTATAATTATAATATTGAATGGTAGCATAATATTCCATTTATCTCTATCCTTGAACAATTATGAAAATCCCACTGTTTTTCTTTCTTAAACATGTGAATATACTTATACACTTGCCTTTTCCTTCTTTTATATTATTTCCTGAAAGGGGAGCCTGTTCTGTGTTAGGCAAAGGGAAGGGAAGTATCTAGATAGAGGGAGCCATGTGAAGGAGGAGAAAGGAAACAGCAGAGAGTGATCTTTGAGCAATTTGGTAGCACTGGCAAATTGAATTTGAAGTGAGGAGCCATGGGAGATGGGGCTGACAGAGTAGGAGTTTGGATTTTAAACACACAGATGACGGGGATACAGTGGAGCCTGAGCACTTGGCAAAAGACACAGAGGACTGCATGGATGGGACAAAAGTGGAAACAAATGATCATTAATGGTGAATATAGCCATGGAGAGAAGGAGATGCATCAGAAACAGGATTTGTTCAAACATTTCTTAAACTTTTACTGGCATACTTTCCAGAAATAGACTTTTTAATCTCCAAGTCAAATGATATGCACGTAGTTATGACTTTGATACTAATTTCCAAATTACTGTCTTGGGTGAGTCTTGCGAGATGATGCTGTCACAGGTATGAGAGCATCATTTCACCCAGGCACAGCACTCAATGTATATTCATTGAATAGATGCTTTTGAATCACTTCCAGCTCTGGCATGTTCAGATTTTCAACTAAATTTTCTCTTCTTTCTCTTTCCAGAAATACGCTCATACTTAAACTTTTATCCTCCATCACAAATAACAAATCTTCCCTTAATTCTGCTTCCTCCTGAAATTTCTGCCTCAACTCTGTTGGGATTCAGAAGCTCTTAGAAAGAGAAGATCTATCCTTGCATCCTCTGTGGCATCTTCTCCCACTCACTTGTAAAACCTGTGTGATCTTTTGTCTGCTCTTAACATCCAACTTAACTTGATATTTCAGACACCACCACTCCCCCCTCCTGTCTATTGTTCAATTGTCCAATGCAATTATTCCACATTTTTATTGGGGGATGAAGTGGGGACTGGACAACAAATGATCAGTTTCATCTTCTTTAAATTCTAACTTTTTGTGCTAAATCCAAACTAGCGGCCACAATTTTTTGTTTGTTTGGTTTGTCTTGTTTTAAATTAAAGCCTCCATTTTCTGGACTGCCATAGCATCATACCAATTTGCTTCTCCTCCTGTGTCTCAGATGTCTTTTGGCCTCTTAAATATACGAGAACTTTGAGGTCTTGTCCACCCTTACTCCTCTCCCTTTATTTTCTGCTTTACTTTCTCTCCTTCATACACTCTCTAGCTTTCAATTATTGTTTTAAGAGAAAGACTCCTAACTAAATGCCTGGTTCCAACCTCACTCTGGCTGCAGTCTCACCTTCAGCTCTCTAGGAGCATCTCTCTGCAGATGGCCCCCTAGGGTTTAATGAACAAACAAACAAATGACCACAAACACTAATCAGATGCTGAATAAACCCTGGATCCTGCCTTTCCAAACCCTTTATACTTTAACCTCAGCCTCACTTTCCACCACCCCTCCAGGCACCATGTGATTCCTACACCAGCAAGTCCCTGAACCTGTTCTATGCTGGCTCCTCTGTGCTTGCCCTGTCCCCTCTGCTTGGAAAGCTTGATGATTTGGGCCTTATTGTCATCGAATTTTGTTATCCATTACTTACAAAGTGTTTTGTCAGCAGTTTAATTAATAAAGAAGAATTGCTTGTTTCTAGAAGTGACTAGACATTGATAAATTACCAAGTACACAGATTAAGGCAGCACTCCCGCAAAAAGTAAAGTGCTCTGTTGCCATCTAGTGGTAAGTGTGGGTAGTTACAGGGGAAAATAGGCTGGTCTGTTAAGTGCTTACCCAGAGTCTTGTGTGCCGGATACTAGGCACTAGGGATCCAGCTGTGAATCAATCAGGTAAAAATCTCTGCCCTCATAGTGCTTATGTTAGGTGTTCTGTGGAGATACCACAGCAAAGTAAAGGTAACCAGAGTCAGTACCTTAATTAGGTAATGTTTGGGGGCTTGAAAAATCCAGTTGCAGTCGGCCATGTTAGTGTAGTCCTCAGGATAGTGAAGACTCTGTATGAGGCCTTCTTCAAAAAGGACAGTTAAGGAACTGCAACCTGAATCTGAAATACAAGGGAGAACGTTCAAACAATGGCATCATCCAAGCAAAGAGGAATCCTCTTTATTCTCCCTCCTGTCTCCCACGAATTATGCCTGAGCTGAATTCTCAGGCAGAGCCACAAAGCAGGAAGACATTGTGCACTGATTTTCCGGAACTCATTAGACACTCTTAACTCATGAGTTAGCAGGACCGTAGGAGAAGTGCCCGCGTCCGCACCGCGCTGACCTTGTGCTTCTCTCCACTATAGAGCCCAGGGGGACTTGGGAGAGAGCTCCCTACCTCTCACCTAATTCTTATGGGGCCTCAACTTCTACAAAAGACCTGGAAAGTGTGTGATAGAAGTAAATGGTTTTACCAGGAAGGTAGTTTGGTTTAAGAGCTTTATAGGTGAGATTAAACCCAGCGGCGTAATCTGTGGCGTCAGAGCTGAACTTCAGCCTGATAGAGTTGGCGCCAATGAGAACTGATGAAGTGAGGCTTTCTCCACAGAATTTCCCTGCAACATAAGATGGAAGATTTTTTGTTCAGAGTCTAGGAAACAGCACTCATTAAAAGACTTAAGGAGAATGGAACCTGTCACAATCGTGCAGGATTGCCTAAACAGGGTTTCTCAACCTCAGCACTATTGAGATTTGAACTGGAACATTCTCTGTGTTCAGGCTGTCTTGAACATTCTAGGATGTTTTGCAGCATCCCTGGCCTCTACCCGCTAGATGCTAGTAACACTCCCTCCAGTGTGACAACGAAAAATGCTTCTAAGACATTGCCAAGTGTCTACTGGGGAGCAAAATCACCTCCAATTAAGAACCACAGAAACGCTCCTCCATTTCTGTTTCTTATGTAAGTAGCCTTTGGCTCCTACTCATGGTTATGCGTTGGTATTTTTTCTCTTAGCTGCTTGAGGCAGGTAAAGGTCATTTTCATGTCTAGGAAAGCAGTATTCTGCCTGGGAGGCCCCAAGAGGCCCTGCAATATGTCTACATTTTACACCTGAAGGGCTCCAGGTCTGACAAATGAGACTAGGGGCCTGGTTCCATGGGTAGCAGATGCAGCAAATGAAATACACTGGGGCCTTACAGCCATCAAACAGGCTCTGATTCAGTTCCTTTCCACTGTCAATTCTGAGTCTCAAAATTGCAGACAGGAAGTATGTTGTTTGCAGATGCCTCAGTGCCAGACATATTGTCACCAGGCCTCATTAAGCCCTCCTGACACTAATGTCCATTTGATGATGTGAAAATCCACTCACCAATAAGTCTGTCTTCTAAAGAATATATTGACAGGTGATTGTGGTAACAGGACTCTGCATCCAAATGGGAAAAGATGAGTAACACATGCATTGCCTCTGGTACCAGCAGCGTCCAGACACACAGTCTGCGGCAGACACATTGAGAGGGTATTATGTCTACACAGAAAATGGCTGTCACAGTCCAGTTAATGGGCTCAGTCAGACTCGGAGTGGGAGTCAGCAGAGGAGAGGCAGAGGGGGCTACTCACTGCTTGCTTTCATAATATAGGTAGGAGGTTTCTGGAAAGTGCAGCTGCCCCTCAGAATTGCTGACCACATGATCCTGCTCACTGCATGAGGCTGGAAGGGAAAGCCAGGAGAATCAGGGCTGACAGTGATGCCTAGCCACAACAGTCCCCTCCTTCCAGAACCTGCGCAGACACTGGAAGCTCCTGGTTCTTCTTTATGTGCACTTCCTTTCTTCACGGAACCTCTTCCTGCATTCGCGTCTATGATGCCTTATTCTTTTTGTTCCATTTAGATCGTGCCTAGTCTTGAGATTTACGGTTTCTTCTCCTTCACTCTTCTTTCTCTGACTCCATAACTCCACTCTATAAATACAGGTATTTCCCAGATTCTATCCCTGGTTTTCATCTTTCTACACGATCCCTCTGACCGGCCTCATTCATATCCTCGGTTTCAATTATTATTGTCTCTACGTTTCCGAACTTCAGACCTGATTTTTCAACTGTCTCCTAGATGGCTCCCTTGAAGCTTAACATGTGACAAGTGGAATTCCTCTGGGTCTGCGAAACTGCCTCCACTTTTGACTTGATTACTTTTATGTGCCCTTTTCTTAGTCTCTCATGCTCAAAACTTTGGTACCATCCTTGATTCCTCCCCCTCCCTCACCACCATTCATCTAAGCGACCACCAAGCCCTCATTCTTCTGGTTTCTATTCTCTCCTTTTCATTCTCCGGCCATTGCTCTAGTTCAGGCCACCATTTCTCATGCACAATCTCATAAATCCACCTTCAATTATTTCCCCTCCAATCTATCACTTATCCCCCAATCTAGTGCTGTTCTTATATCACTAAAGGATAGCTCTACTTATCTAATTAATCAACTTCCTATTACTCAATAAAGTTCAAACTTTTTTGACTGGCATTCAAAATTTCCACAATTTGGTCTCAAGTTAGCAATCTAATCTTCTCCCCATCACCTATCTTACACTTCAGCTGCTTTGACTAACGTACTGGCCTCTGTTAACATCCTAAATTTTCCCATCTTTATCCTTAATATTCCTCCTTTGATACGGATGATTCCTTGAGCTGGAACAGTTTTCTTTACCTGTATCCCATTTCCACCTGATAAAATCCTACTCGTCCTTTGTCATTTAAGGTTCAGCTTAAAAGATGTCTGTGCTCAAATGCCTCCCCTGTCTTTTTTTTTTCAGCTAGAAGCAGCTGCTCACTCCTCTGAGCTCTCAGGGGGCTCTTTTCCCACATTACTTATTTGTATATAGTTCCAGAGACTCACAGAACCACTGAAGATTTGAGCTAAAGATGCCTTAGATACAATTACAATACAATTACAATACAAATCCCAACTCTTTTCTTTATGGATGAGGAAAGTGAGGTCCAGAGGTGGGAAGGAGCTTACCCAAAGTCACAGAGTAAATTCATTGCAGGCTTGCAATGTAACACCCAGGGTGACTGAGTCCCCTGTATAAGGAAGGATACTTTCAGGGTAAGGTGGACAGTTTATGGACCACATTCTTACCACCTCACCCTCCTCCCTCGAGTCTCTGATCCAAAGCTAGGATTTGGCAAATGTTTACTGAATTGAGATGGAGTTCTGGATTGGTAAGAAGTGAGATGAGAGGGAATCTGGGGCTCCTGCTGGGCGAGGGACTGCCCTGGCTGGCAGGGAATGCTGTAGGTGCTTCAAGAGGTGGTTTTACGAGCAAGCAGAGCTCTTGCAGAGGAAAACTTTTGATCACAAAGGGAACAGATATTCAGAAATGCTAGATATTAATTCACGCTCTTGGAGCAAGCTTCAAGAAACACCCACCTCTGGAGATCTTTCTCCGCTTCCCTGGGAAAGAAAAAGAAAGATACAATTCAAGGTTTGTGGTATCCTGAACAATATTTCAAGAAGTTAGCATTTCCCTGGCTCAAAAGTGCAGAGATTTTTAAGTCAATATGCAACTAATGAAAATCTAATCTGTGGGACCGGCCCTGTGGCTGAGTGGTTAAGTTCATGCGCTCTGCTTCGGAACCTGGGGTTCTCTGGTTTGGATCCAGGGCACAGACCTACACACTGCTTGTCAAGCCATGCTGTGGCAGCATCCTACATAAAAGAACTAGAATGACCTACAACTAGGATATACAACCATGTACTGGGGCTTTGGGGACAAAAAGAAAAAAGGGAGAAAGATTGGCAAGAGATGTTAGCTCAGGGCCAATCTTTCTCACCAAAGTAAAAAAGCATACCTTAAAAAAAAATCTAATCTATGGAAAAAACAGAAGGGATAAATTGACAGAACAGGAGAGTGGTCTTGGTGTTTTAGTGAGATGACTAAAACACTCTTTATTAAGTGGGCTAATTAAGAATCAGACCATGATTAGCTTGGAGGTTATGCAGATCAGGAAGGGGTCATCTGTTCTACCTCTCTCATTTCACATGAGAAGAGAGACTAGTGATGGAAATAACTCTCCACAATCACAAAAGCATTGCTGGGATAACCACAAATTGAAGTGAGGGCTTGGATACCTGCCACTGTGCCATACACTTGAAAATAAACCCAAGTTCTTATGGAACGAATTTGAATTAATTTAACTAATTGAATTTCCCTCTTTGGGAAAGAAGTCCTATTGAGGCTGGAAGCCACCAGTTAAGAAAAGAGTTAAGTTGAATTTGGAGGCAGAAATCAAATTGCAATTAACTTACTGGTCAATCTACTAGACTGGGTCTTTTCAGACTTGCAGTACTTAGGCCTATGCCAGACCTTCTCAACCAGAGCATTACTAACATTTGGGGCTGGATCATTCTTTGTTGTAAGGGCTGTCCAGTGCATTATAGGATGCTTAGCAGCATTCATGGCCCCCACCCACTAGATACCAGTGGCATCCCCCTCTCCCAGTTGTGGCAGCCCAAAATGTCTCCAGACATTGTCCCTTGGAGGACAAAATTTCCCCTGGCTGATAACTGCTGATTTATGCTATAGCTTGCTGAATCTTGCTGGCACAGTCGAGAAATAAGTGGTGAAAACATATCACCAGAGGAGATAGTTTCAATTAAAGGCAAATTTGACAAAGTCTAGGATGGATATATTCATATTTCATTGAATATTTGTATGCTGTACCACACGCCGTATTTTACTCTTGCTTTGGACTTAGTAAATATCACAATCCTTATGTGAGACACGAAGAGCAGAAGCAGAGCCTGTCTGCTCAGTGGTCCTCACTTGTCTGGACTCTGCTGATTCTCTCTCCGTCCCTAGCTTGTTAACCTTATGTGCTGGCTTCATTACCAATTTGGACGTGTTTGTGGACCCAGGGAAGCACTTTACTAAGGTCTGTGAAGATCCCAGGGGATCCTTGATCATCTTTCTGTACATTGTTTCTCCAGCCTCGACCACAGCCCAAACCCCAGGAAGTCACACCAGCCAGAGTCCAAGCCCCTTTCTTATTTCGACACATGAGGGAACCTCCTGAATCGCCCTGTAGGGGGAAAAAGCCTCAGTTACTATCATTGCCAGTGTCTGTTCCCCAAAGCACTCAATCCTTTTCCCCCACAAAGATGTTAGGTAAGAATCAATGATATTTCTTCATTTCTAATAATTTGGACTCAGGAGCCTGGAAGAATAGCCAACTACAATTCATAATAGCTGCTCAAATATCATTGGAGCCTATCAATTCCACCTCCTCCTCCCCCATCCTAGGCTTTCATCAAACAGATGTATTTCCCTCTCCTGTCTCATCCTATAGACTCAGAGAATTCTTTCCCAGTAGTAAAATTGACCTCGGGTCTTGGTCAGCAGGAAGAATGGAGGGAAAGTAAAGTTCCCATTATAGACAAACTGGATATCTCTATAGAGGAAAGTGCCAGGCATCTTTCAGCAGGGGAGAACCCTGAGCTCATTGTTGGCATTATGTCTATGATTTCGTCTTTTGGAAAAAGCAGAAGACCTCCTCTGAATTCATACTGCCTGGTAAAAACAGGTTGTTTAAATTGTCCCTATATTTTGACTTGACTTTCCCTGTCACTTCTGACCCTTCTTTCCAGAATCTAGTCTTACCTACAGCCTTCTTTCAGTCCCTCACGTGATGACAAAGCTGAGGGAAGCCCTGTCAGGGACCTGTCAGCTCAGCCACTCCCACCTACCTGACAAGCATCTCTCCCTCCATCTGGAAAGCCTGTGCAGAGAAAGGTCTGCCCACTGATGGGTTTCTTTAGGGTTAACAGAGCTGCCACACACTCCTCCTGGGTCAAAATGGGCAAGTTCACTTCCTGCAAGACTTGCGAGAGGATGCCGTCTAGAAAACACACAGATGAGAGCCCCAGCGAAGCACTCTTTCACCATTTCTGAGTTGAAGATGCCCCATTCAGGCTTGTGTCTTTTGGAAACACCTGAATTTCTAAGCACCATGTGATATTCTCTGTTTTTAAAAATGTTTACACAATTGTTTTACAAGAATACAATACAAAGAAATTTATGCACCGCTATGTTCATTGCAACATTATTCCGACAGCCAAGATATGGAAGCAACCCAAGTGCCCATCAACTGATGAATGGATAAAGAAGATGTGGTATATATATATACAATGCAATACTACTCAGCCATAAAAAAAGACAAAATTGTGCCATTTGTGACAACATGGATGGAACTTGAGGGTATTATGTTAAGCGAAATAAGCCAGGCAGAGAAAGATAGATATAGTATGATTTCACTCATTTGTGGAAGATAAACAAACACCTGGATAAGGAGAACAGATTGGTGGTTAAGAGAGGGGAAGGGGATGGGGGAGTGGGTGAAAGGGGTAAGGGGGCACATATGTATGGTGACAGATAAAAACTAGACTATTGGTGGTGACTATGAAGCAGTCTATACAGAATCTGATGTATATAGTGTATACCTGAAATTACACAGTTTTATAAACCAATATGACTTCAATAAAATAACTAAAAAAATTCTATTTTCTTACTGTCTACCAGAAAGTTCTGACGTCTGATTAAGAGTAGTGGCATAGAAGACCTTACCTTCAGTCAAGCGGCCCCAGCCTGCAGTTGTACAAATAAATCCAGCCTCAAATCGTTCCCCTGGTTCTGGAAGACACACGGGCCGCACAAACTGGCCTAAAGAAAAGAGCAAGGTAGGGCTTGTCTCATCCATGGAGGAGAGGACACCATAAGCCACTCACCAATTGGCATCTAGGTGGTTCCCCAGAGACCTTGTAAGAGTTGTGATAGTTTCGCCTGGAGTCTCCAGGGGTCACTTTTCAGACAAAGAAAGACCCTCTCCTGACTCCATGTAATACTATATCTGAAGCCACAAGCAAAAAGAGTTTCAGATAGGGAAGCCTCCACTCCAAATCTCTATCTTAAAGTCCATGACCCAGAACTGTTGGGCATATGCTACATAATATATACTGTAGGGAATGTGCTATGGAACAGAAGTTATGGAGAACATGGGATAGACAATTCAGAGTTGGCCTCAAATGTTTACCGAAATTGAAGGCTCCAGTCATCTTCAAAAGAGCAATATCGTAGTCCATTGGTTTCTTGGTGGAGAAATGTGGGTGTACAATGATGGTTTCAATGGTGAGAGTTTGCTCTCCTGGCTCTGTGTGGTTCAAGTCATATTCTCCAGCAGTAACATTCAAAGTTAATGCAATATTTCTATGAAGAGGAAGCAGTAAAATGGTGGATTTCATTGAGCCTCTGAGTATAGATGAAATGGTTGACAAACTGGCCTCTTCAAAATGACATGGGTAGATAATGAGGGGTGTGAGGCTGCTAAACAGAGAAAGTGAGAATGATTCCAACACTTTCAGTAAAAATGCAGAGTTTCCCAATTCAAGTGGGATACTAATAAAGAGTGGCCTCATATAGAGCCAATGATATGATAAATTGAATACTTAGCAATGTTATTTGTAAAATGTCTAAAAAAGTATATACATTGCAATTTAGGGGTCTAAAGCTGTTAGCGGACTTTATTCAGCATCTCTGGGGGTTAGTCTGGACTGACTATCAGTGAGATCCTTTGGGAATGATTTGTGATGCACACTAGGTATGCTGCTTTAATGTCAGAGATCTAATGCATAATGTATATTGTGAAAGACACAAGAGCACCATAACACTTATGTCCCAGATAGCATGAATACTCAGGGATTTGGGACAAATTATAACAATGGGAGGTAAGGATCCTTAACTCCTTTATGTTTGTAACTTAGAGCCCCGGCGCGACATGGGAAAACCATTCTACTACCTTTTTTCCTGCAATAAAGTTGTCTGAAAGGAACTTCGTAGGATGCATTGAGATGTATTAAGAGCTCTGGGCTTGCCATCTTTTGGGAGACTTCATTCCCAGGAGTGATGATTTAAATAAAATTAGAAAGGGTATAATTTTCTCTTGATATGCTTCCCTGGGCTCGTGGCTATCGTATGTACCTAACCTAAAACATAGCATCTCTCTAGCCTAACCACCTACCACATTGTGTGAAATCATCAGTTGACTCTTCCTTAGACTATCAACTCTCTGGGGGCAGAAATTCTGTATTACTCATATTTTTATCTTTGGTACCCACTAGTGTCTAGCACCAAGTAAATATCCAGGAGATGTTTGCAGACTTGAAATGAAAGAGAGAAAATATGAGGGCATGATCTTGGTTATAGCCTGGTGAGTAGCAAGAGCCCTGACAACAGTAGAACTTTTGGAGCACATAGGAAATTGGATCAAGGATGGAAGTTGTTGGAATGAAGCACAGAGAGGCAGGATCAAGAGGAAAGAAGACATGGAGAATTCTTTGTGTTTTACTGGCCTCCCATTTTTTTTTTTTTAATCCATTTCTTAAGATACATAATGAACTGGATAATTTTCTTTCTGTGAAATTTAAGAAAACTAGGAAAGAACTTTCACAAATCTATCTTTGTGTTACTTCTTTTCTCAATTAGATATTATCCTTTATTAACTTCCAGTCATGTTAAGTAAGTAAAGTATTCTGCTCCTTCAAGGGATGTATGTTTTCTACCAAGTTGAGTATCCTCTGACAGTGTCACTGAGCCCTATTTGTGTTATGAAGTTAAGATATTCCCCTACTACAGCATATGTCACACAGATGTATGTTTTGATAGAGTTGTTGCTGCTGATGCCAAGGGAGAAGGGTAAACTGTCCTTTATCCGTGGCTCGGCCTTCCCCTACCTGTTTGCAACGCAGTGAGCAGCTGTAATCACCCACTGTGGAGAGATGATGGTCCCACCACAGATATGCTTCTGCCTTCGTTTCAGTGACACCTGAATTGCAAAGACCTTAAATGGGAGCAAGTTAATGCCTTGGGATCCCCCAAAACCTGGAAACTGAGCATATTCTGAAAAACAGATCTGGATATCTTATTCATAAATATCAGAAACCATGGACTGTGAAGCAGAAAAACCCACCTCATCACAGCTCAGAAAAATAGCAGTGCTGGAGATAGAACATTCCCAACCCTGGTCCCCAAGAGAGGTAGTTAATTTCAGATGATTGGCTATAAGGTTTCAGTAGAGTTGATGGTAAAAATTGCTGGTATCTATCTATCTATATATCAATCAATCATCTATCTATCACCTATCTATCTGTCTATCTAATCTATTTATTTTTATAATACTTTTGACCCAGACTGTTACTGTAACAATATTAACAATATCTGTGAGTGAAGAGAAAGGAAACAAAGCATAAGATACAGTAGAGTCCAGATGAAGACGTTTGGGAGACAGGCCAGGTAAGAGCTAAGGGTGTCTTTCAACACAAGCTCTAATTCCTCCAAGCATCTTAGAGAAATAGTATGCACCTACAAATTTCTCATACTCTTAACTATTTGACCTCTACAACTCCTATAGGCCTGTTTTTTAAACGTTATTTTATTGAGGTCACACAGCATTGTGTAAATTTCAGGTGTGCATCATTAAATTTCAGCTTCAGTAAAGACTGAATTGTGTTTACCACCAAAAGTCTAGTTTCCATCCAAGCCTATTTTTAAATCTCCCTCTACAATATACTTTTTATCTTTGGTTTATCTTGTTTATGAATTTGATTTCACTCTAAAACAACTTACAGGATACAATTACATACTTTTAAATCCACTGTTGAAATTAGAAAAGATGCGATTTATTACAATTGTCTCCTTTTTGAACAAAAATTATTCAATGAGCAATATAAAATGATATTCAATACAAGATAAAGCCTAAGAATGGAATAAAGAGCAAGTAAGTAAAAGTCAATGAGTCACCCCTATGATTTGAATATGGACTTCTGAATTGACTAGCCAACCAATTGACCAAGTAAGCAACTGATCAATCAACTCTTCTACCAAATAATCAATTCATCAGTTAATCAAATGACAATGATTCAGCCATTCAATCAACCCACTGAACACAAACTCAAGCAACCAACAATTACCAAATATCCACTGCCATAAAGTTAATATGATTGACTCAAGGAAGTAAATATAAAGAGCTATCCCTTTACTTGCAAAATTAAGAAGCAAGAGTATGACATGGCTCCCATGATAAAGAAAGTTTGGAGACTTTCAAAGGCAGTACATGTAAACACCATAGGCTAGGTGCAGAAGCAGAAAGGCCTTTCTATGGCATGGGAGGACCAGAAAATTAGATTGAGTCAGAATTCTTAGGACACTAGCTATTAAGAAGGTGGTACTCTTGACTATTCCCTGAGGAGTCCTATGGTATAGGTACAAGCCTTATACCCAAGACATAAAAAACAGACTTATGGATATGACATCTTTGTCTTTCCTGGTTGTCTTAAACTATACTGAGACACACATATTTTAAATGTATATATCGAATCAGAAAACTATTTTTTAAATTGTAAATTCAAAAGTTTTTCAGCTCTTGAAGTGGGATTTCTGTCTTAGGGGTTGGAAGTTTGGGATGGCATTTCTAATTTTTGGAGCAAGGCAATAGTGCATGTGGCTACTCTAAATACACCTTTTCTGGAACTCAACTGGTACACATCATGAGGGAATTGGCCTTGCACACACTCATGGAATCTCTGGTGATGAGCTGGGCAGAATGGAGTGCACTGATGGGCAGAATGTGACTCTGGGAGATCCAATCCTAAGACAGCTTATAGTCCACCCACAAGAGAATGTTCCCTGGGACTTACCTGCCAGGGGTAGGAACCCTTTTCCACTTGGCTTCCCCCAACAATGCGACTGAAAATGTTAAAGTAATTCTGAGGCCGTGCCTTCACCAAACTCTGCCCACAAGTGGGAGCTGGGAAAAGAAAAGAGAAAAATTTAGTAATTAGATAGTTCCTAGCACTCAGGGTACAGGAAACTTTTCTGAGCAAGAAAAAACTGTAGGACATGGAGTATGTATAAAGATTACAAAATGGCTTTAAGTTAATTGTGGAATTTGCCGTGATTTGCAGTATAGGGGATTGTTCAGCTTTTGTCACATGGAACAGGCATATTGTGAAGAGATCTACTTCTCTGATAAGAAGATTAAGGGCCTCAGATGTAGATCTCCACTAGGTTAGCAGGGATGCAGCCTCCTTGATTCTGAGCACTCTGGCCCCTTAGAGATTCCTCGCAGCACTCTGTACTTCTATGATATCTATCACGGGTCTTTATGGTTATTTCTATGTCTTTCAATCCAACTAGACTGTGGGCTCCTTAAAGAAAGAATCTTAATGTTAGGAATGTCTATAACCTCAATATCTAGCACAGTTCCCGATGCATGGAAGTTGCTCAATTAATTGGTTGAATGGATGATGCCATAGACTGTTACACCTTAGACTGTAAATGTGTGTACATCTTCTTCTCAACTTCACCCAGGAGACTGAGTCAGAAACCATTGTCTATGCTGCCTGGCACACAGTCAGATATTGGATTTAATTCTCTATGAGGGTGGAAAGTGGCAGGTTTTTCAAGGAGAGTGGAGTAGAGAGAAGACATTGTCCTGATTCACATACCAGAGTAGTGTTAAGGTAGAAGGATTGCCAGGTAATGGAAGAAAGAGCTCTTTCCTCTTTGTGGAAAAGACTTTACCCCTGAAAACAGTGCCTTTACTTGTTTATCCTCAATGGTTTTTTTTGACTACTCATCTAATAGATGGGCTAGATTAAAGATATTTAATGACTCCTCAGAAATTCAAGGATGACACATCTTCTGTTCCTACTGCAGGTCATTCTTTCCTACATGTTTTCTAAGAGGGCCTAGAAATACCTGCCTCACAATCAACCCACTTTTTTTTTTTTTAAGAGATTGGCACCTGAGCCAACATCTGCTGCCAATCTTCTTCTTCTTCTCCTTTTTTTCTTCTTCCCAACCACCTCCCACCCCCCGCCCCCCGCTGCAGTACACAACTGCACATTCTAGCTGTAGGTCCCCCTGGCTCTGCTATGTGGGATGCTGCCACATCATGGCTTGTTGAGCAGTGCTAGGTCTGTGCCCAGGATCGGAACTGGTGAAACCCTGGGCCGCTGAAGCAGAGTGCGCCAACTTAACCACTTGGTCATGGGGCTGGCACCTCAACCCACTACTTTACCTAGCGGAATCCTCTAATCCTAATTCTTCAAGTTTAAAGATCACCTCAACTAAGAAGTATTCCTTGATTTCATCAAACTGTGCTAAGTGTCTCATCCCTGTATGTGTAGTACTCTTTCCTCTCCCTTTTTTTTTTTTTTAAAGATTTTATTTTTTTCCTTTTTCTCCCCAAAGCCCCCCGCTACATGGCTGTACATTCCTCGCTGTGGGTCCTTCTAGTTGTGGCATGCAGGATGCCGCCCCAGTGTGGCCCGACTAGCAGTGCCATGTCCGCGCCCAGGATTCGAACCAACGAAACACTGGGCCGCCTGCAGCAGAGCGCGCAAACCCAACCACTCAGCCACGGGGCCAGCCCCTCTTTCCTCTCCCTTTTTATGGTTTTTGCCATGTAGTATTGTGATAGTGAATTGTTCATCTGTCTCCCTCACTGGACTATGAAATACTTGAGGAAACAAAACTATGTCTTATTCATCTCTGTATTTCCAAAGTTTAGTACTATTGCTAGCATACAGTAGACACTTAGAAGAGTTGAATGGATGAACAAAACGTTTTTCTTGAGAAGGTATCATTGAGAGCATAATTATTTAGATCAATACATTAAAATATACAAAGCTCTTTCAAATAACTTCTCATTTAATCCCCATTCTATGCTTATGAATCAAGCTTTATTATCCCCACATTACAGTTGAGACAACAAAAGATCAAAGAGATGCACAGCTAATTAATGGCAAAGCATGGATGTAAAACCAAGCCTTTTGATTCTGAACCCAGTGAAGGCATGACATTGGATCAAATATTTATTTTTTAACTGTTTCAGTTGAAAAAATCACAAATACCTTAGAAACAGAATTTACTGTTTTCTTAACTCATTTAAGCAAGGATAGAAAACATGATGATTCTTGGTACCGGCACAAATATGACTATGGAGAAGCCTGCTAAGAACTGTTCTCAGCTTATGTTACTTGAGGAAACAAAGACCACTTATAATACACCACAGTGAACATGCTTCATATTTCCCAGCAACATAATTTTCTAAAAGACTACAAATGTTTCCAAATTTATGCTTCTTTCTAGAATTTGTTCCATGAAAGAGGATGGGATTGTATAGCGTGTCCAAATAATTGAACAATCCTAGTTTTCTTCAGATCAATTCAACTTTTCCAAGTTATATTCCATAAATGTTTCACCCCGTTTCATATGCTGACTGCAGGACAGAACGTCAGAAAAGTTACATTAAAATAAGTTAGATCTCCAAAATACATTTTCTTCTCCTCTTTTCCCAAAGGAATATAGAGTGAAGACGTGATGCCCATTGCCAGCAGAGGCTATTCCTTCAGGCAAAGGTAGTTATAGAATTTGTGTGGAACTTACCTTTGGGGAGAGACAGAGTTGCAGATTTCCCTTGTTCCAAACAGATCATTCCAATTAGTAAAATCAGCTTATTCTTGCTCATAGGCATTTTGAGACTCAGAGTTTTTCCCTGAAATTTTAGAGAGACTGAGGAGAACCAAAATAGAAAGCCTGTGAGACCAGCAATAAGCCAATTTAAAAGAAAGTTATTCATTAACCAAGACTTGAGGCATTCAACCATGTCTATATGATGTTTCTGAATGTGGTTTCTTGCAAAGATCTTTGCAAGATGTGGGAAGTCAACCACAGAAGCAAAGTCTTGATAAAGCAATATTACATGCCCCATTATACCCACATCAATATGTTGCTTCACTCAGAGTGTATCTGGCTAGCCAAGTGGTTGGTGGCTAAGGCTTTTATTTGCAAACATCATTTGCCACTTAGTACAGGTTAATATAAGAGGATTGAATATCAAATTTGTCCTTGTTTTCAAGATTAGACTTTCCGACATGCTTGCAGACAACTCATCAGAATGAGCTGAAGCATTTTTCTTTTTCTTATTTTCCAAATGTAAATGGATAGTTATACCATGTAGTAGAGAAGAAGAGATGAGAACAGATAATTTGGTAGCACACTCAGGATGTCATGCTACTAGACAGTGACTTAGGATACGGTCCATTAGGGCATTTGTGAATTTGCGTTCTCTCACCATTTTTTGTATTTACAGAAAGTAAACACTAAATATCCTTTGCTTCTACACCTGGTAGATGACGTGGCACAAATAGGTGGCTTTGATTAAATGCCAGTCTTCTTCTTCCCTGGCTGAGTTCTTGGCCCATGGTCAGTGTGTGAGCAACACTTGTAGATTGGCCAACGCCATCTCTGACCACACAGGAATATGAGATTTTTCTGTCAACTGTTACAAATTAGCTGCCCAAAACAGCAAATGTCAAACCAGAAGCTCCTAACTTCTTTGTGGCAAATTTTTCCCGAGTACAAAATAAATCTATAAAAACACAACAGATACAAATAATATAAATGCAAAACAAAGAAGTTCTAATAACTAAAATTTGTGAGAACTGCAAATTTAGGCACCAGTCAAGATTGTAGCTTTACATAAAGGACACTCAAATCCCTGATTGAGGCTTTATCCACAAATACTTTAATTCTGTAGCTGGGAAATTTTGACTGTTGATATGGGAATTGATGTCAGTCCTAACGAGTAATCAATCAAAGTCCAAACTATAATCAAAATCTCAATCTTTGTTTGACAACAGATGATCTGGAAAGTTCTATTATATCTTATCAATCACTTTCCAGAGCAATTTGAATAGGAATATGGCCCTCCTGACGCGAAATTCACTATATTCTGTCCATATATTGTGTGCTACTAATGTAAAAATTAGAGAAAAGTTTAGCATAGGCCTGGGATGTGCCAGGTTGATAAGCCTAAAGTAGAAATAGAGATTCATTTAAAGCACAGAGCCTTCTGAGCTTTTGACCTACTGTTGGTTTCCAGTATCATAGAATAAAGAAATTTGACTGTAAAATGAAAAATTATGAGTTTTCCTGTGTCATGCAAGAGGGGGGCATTTTTATTGGCTGCTACACATAAATGTGATGGGATCTTGCTTATTCCTTCAACTCAACACATATCAAAACACAACCATCAGTATATATCAATGCACTCATTCACATCTCTCATCTCTTGAGAGTGTAAGCTCTGATCTCCTTGCTGTTAAAATCTTTCATCTTCAGAGAGAGTATACCAGGTTCTGGGATACCAAGTTTCTGTGAGGTCAGCTACCCAAGCCTTGCAGAGTTCTATAAATTATAATTGTATATAATAGTCACTTGCAGAAAGGGATATAGTGAAGTATTTGGCATGGTAGTAGAAAATCAGTTTTTCATTTGTAAGACTGGTAAATTTTTTGGAGGGTGAAAAATCTGTCTTGGCAATTTTGGACCAAAGTCTGCACCAAACATAGCTTTAGGATTCAAATTATACTGTTTTCCTTATCTGTACACCTTCAAGTTGAGAAATTCGTATCAAAATTTATCCTGAGCTAGTGATACAGATGGCAGCTGACAGAAATAAAGAACAGAACTTATTTGGAGGACATACTCTCAATCCAGGCTAGACAAAGGTAACACTCACTAAAGAAAGAAGGGCTCACAATTTAAAATCATAAAACAACAAAAAACAAAAATGAACAGAAAAAAACCAAGAGTACATCCACAGACACATTAAAGAGCAGATTTAAGCCATTAAGAACTTCAGAAAATAGAATGACCTAATAGACATAATATGATATCTGTTAATATTTTTAAAAAGTAAAAGAATATGAAACTCAAGAAAGCAACTATTTTTTTTAAAGAAAGGACCAGACAGATTTGGGGGTAAAAGACAAAGAGGCATTCTAGAAATAAAAAATATTCTCAGAAAAAAATAGATTACACAGTTGGTTATATATAACTGGAGAATTAACGAGCTGGAAGATAGATCTTTGGAATTACCCAGAATATCATACACAGAGACAAACAGATACATAGAATGAAAAAGAATTTATGAAATATGCAGAAGAGAATGAGAAAGTCCATCATATGTCTAAGAGAAATAATAGAAGAAGATTATAGAAAGAATAGTGGACAGGCAATATTACAAAACATAATAGCTAAAATTTTTCATAACTAATGAAAGATATTAAGCTTCAGATCCAAGAACAAAAATTCCTAAACAAGATAAATAAAAGCCCCAATTTACTGTGAAACTTTATAACAACATGGCAAATAGAGCTCCTTAAAAACAGCAAGAGAGAAAGACAAATTACCTATTAAAATATATTAGACTGACAAATGATTTATCAGTAGCAATGGAAACTAGAAAATATCTTCAAAGTGCTGAGTAAAAATAACTATCAATTTAGAATTTTATGCCCAGACAATTGATTGTTTAAGAATAAGAGTGAAATGAAGATATTTGCAAGGAAAAACACTTGAAAGAATTTAATATCAACATACCATTGCTGAAGGAGCCACTAAATGAAGAAATCAAATCAGAAAAAAGAAATTAAATCCAGAAGGAAGGAGAGGGATGCAAGAGGCAATGATGAACAAAGAAAAAAACTGATAAAGATATATGTAAATCTAACCAAGTATAAAGTACTATGGTGGTCTAGTCTTTAAGATTTGGTGCTCTCACTGCCACAGCCTGGGTTCATTTCCTGGTCAGGGAACCACACTACCTGTCTCTTGATTGTCATACTGTGGCAGCTGCATGTTACTGCGATGCTAAAAGCTATGTGGCAGGTATTTCTCATAGCAGCTGGGTCACCCGTGGTGGACAGGTTTTAGCAGAGCTTCCAGACAAAACAGACTAGGAAGAAGGACCTGGCCACCCACTTCCAAAACATTGGCCATGAAACCCACGTGAATAACAGTGGAGTATTGTCTGATACAGTGCTGGCAGGTGAGAGGATGGCACAAAGACACTGGGCCCAGTTCTGCTCTGCTGTACACAAGGTCGCTAGTAGTCAGAATCAACTCAGAGGTACTAATAATGACAAAAATAAAGTGCTAGCAATAGTAATGACTACTCACTTTCTGTGTATCTTTCTGAATGAAGAGAGAGAGAGAACCTAAGGGGACATATGAAACACAAGAAGCAGGAGTGATCAAAGGGACAAATAAAAGTAATTTATTAGTCTAAATAATTGTTGATCAAAAATAGTAGTTTGTAGCTAAATTTCTTAATGACTTAACAAGCGAGATGGGGAGTGCCGAGAGAAGGAAGAAAGAGAAGTAAAGGCATGCTCGGATTCCTTTCTAACTTGAAGGTTGATGTAGAAAGAAATTAATTCCAGAATTGGTAGGAAATGTAAACATTGAAGAGTTAAAATTATTAGAAGAGTATAAATAAGATGCATACACTCTGTATTATTAGATTAAAAACAGTACAAAGAAAACTGATTTAATCTAACTAAAGCAAATAACGACAGGACAACAACAAAAAGAAGAACAAGGAAACTGCAGTAAGTAGAAAACTTGAATTAGATCACGTTGTTTATTGCAAATGAACAAATTTGATAATATCAAAGCTTAACTAAGGAGTGAGAGAATATGTACTCTCAGATACTGCTGGTGGGAAGTAGATTGACACAGATATTTTTAAAGGTTTTATAAAAATAAAAGGTATAATTTACATTAATTTATAGCAGTCTTAAGTATTTATATACCTAATAACACAGCGTTGAAATATTTAAAGCAAACTCTGATAGGAATTTGAGAAATTGAAAAACCCATAATCATAATGCAAGACTTTCAGAAATGGGTAGGTACAATAAACAACAAAATGAGTTTGATAGAATAGATTGTTAACATGAAACATCATTTTAAAAATGATGCTAGTTTTCTTTAAGTGCAATTTGGTAGTAACTATTAGAATTTAAATTGTGCAAACCTTTTGGCCCAGTAATTCTACTTCTTGGAGTACATCCAAGAGAACTACTAGTGTACAAGCACAATGAAGTGTTAGGAGGGATATTGTTCAATAAATACTAATTAAATACTGTAGAACACTATGAATCATTACAAAGAATGAAGGAGATTAATAAATACACAGAATTATCTAAAAAAGATTTTTGAGCGAAAAAAGCAAATTTGCAAAATACAAACAATAACTCACGTGTAAAACTACATGGAAATTAGAAACAAGGAAGACACTGTTGGCTTACCAGAAAGGGAGGGATGGGATAGAGATAAATATGGGTCAGGGAAAGGAAGAAATAACTTTAACTCATCTCGTCTACTTAAAGAGTCCAGGATTAGGGAGGGGCTGTTTATGATAAGTGGGAAATGCTCACGCTGAATTAAATCATGGGTCACTTTCACATAGAGAAAGCATCATGGATTTCCTGAATCTCCCTAAGGTGCCACTAAATGTGAATCACAGGAGAGAGCTCAAGAAAATAGTTTCAGGCACCCGGTCATGGCTGCTTTTCAGAAATACCACAGAAGATCAAAACATAGTCCACATTAATTATGTTGGTCCAAATCAAGTTTCAAAACTAATTAGATTATGTAGTTTTAGAACCTACGTACAAATAATGACAAGAATAAATGAAGCCCCTGAGACCTTAATGAACATCTCAGCTAGCATAATTGTGCAGGTAGATGTAAACACATGTAATTTTCTCAATCTCAATGGATTTTCTTCCACTGGATTTTCAATAGGATGTCAGCAGACCTGTGCATATCTGATGCTGAGGTACTTAAGGTCTTATATTCCAAATGGTCCTAAATCCTGCATAAATAAGCTCTGCTGTACAGGTATGATTCTTGGAGTCTGTCCCATCATAATATTTGAACAGCAGATAACGTTCATTCTTTGTTATGGATTTATAAATGACTTTCGTATTTGTAGTAGAAGCTAATAGCTGCATATTTGAAGTAGATTCTCATTTATGGATTATTCATTCATTGCCATCCATTGCTAGGTGTTTTAACATACATCATCTCACTTAACACAACGACCATGCAAAGTAAACATTATCATCTCAATTTTAAAAATAAGGAAATTGAGTCTCAGAAGGGTTGTGTAACTTTTCCAAGATCACTTAGCTAGTAAGTGGCAGACCTGGAATTTATATCCAGAGCTTTTGGCTCTGAAATATTATTTTCATTGCAGCTCTGTATGCCATGCTTTCTATATCATACTGGCACTCCTATCATATTTTGAATTCATTTGAGTCTTTCATGTATATATTTTCTTATAAAAATATAAGATTTGTTTCAGATTTATGCTTTTTAAACCTCTGACATACTCCTCAGACTAATTAATGAAGCCAGAGATTTAGCATTCTTACGTTATTTTATCAAGTTAATTCATATGAAAAATTGATTAAATACATTGGTGTAATCATCACCACATAGAGAACAAGTTTTTCATCCTAAGATTGACTGAGAATAGGGTACTGATAATTATTATTATATTTTGTAAAAAAAAATTTAATGTTGAGATCTCTTAAAAAGTAGCAAACATTCCGTTTGGAAATTCAAGAGTCTACACATGGTCAACTCTGTTCCTTTCAAAAACAATGACATTTTTTCTCCCTCAAGTTGCAGGCTTCTGATATTTGATAGTACTTCTGAAGTGTTATTTGATGTTTCAAAGTTTTTTTGATTTGATAATACTTGCTGATTCTTTTCATTGTTTGGTACTTGCTTTTCCGGTGTTCTAGCTTGTTTCTTACTGGGATGCTGGGATGACCTCAAAACTAAGGTAGTTGCAGTTTAGTTGAGCTCCTTATTTTTTAAAAAATTCCTGGGGCTGGCCCTGTGGCCGAGTGATTAAGTTCTCGCGCTCTGCTGGGGCGGCCCAGGGTTTTGCCAGTTCGGATCTTGGGCGCAGACATGGCACCACTCATCAGGCCATGTTGAGGCGGTGTCCCACATGCCACAACTAGAAGGACCCACAACTATAAGTATACAACTCTCTACTTTGGGTATTTGGGGAGAAAAAGCAAAAAAAAAAAAAAAAAGATAAGCAAGTTGTTAGCTCAGGTGCCAATCTAAAAAAAAAAATCCTATGTTGGCATCATCTTCACATTTCTCTTGCCTCAGTGACAAATTCCCCTCTAATACATTAAATATTTCTCTGATCTGTCCACTGTTCTCAATCTTTATTACTGCCACCCAATACAGCACCATATGCACCTGGACTACATTCTGACATGCCTTTCTGTTAATTGTTTTACTCTACAATTTAGTTCCCATAAGGTAGGGAGTTATCTTATTATTATGTAAATTAGATCATGTCATTCTGTTTAAAACTTTGCATTGTCTTCCTCTTGCACTTAGAATAATGTTTAAACTCTTTATCGTGGCTTTCAAAGCTGTAAATGATCTAGCTTCTGCCTAATTCTTGAGTTAATCTTGTGTCACTCTATCCACATTGGCTTGCTGTTCTTTAAATGTACGAAGCTATCACGTACTTCAGAGCCCTTGCACTGGCTGTTTAGACTATAATGTTCTTCCCCTCTAACTTAGCGTGGTTTGTTTGTTTGTGTCACTTATGCTTTCTTTTAAATGCCCCTTCCACAGAGAGCTTACTCGTGACCAATTTAAAATTAGCCACAAAGACTAAATCAAATCACCTTAAGTTTCTGCATAGCATTTATCATTGTCTAAAATTTTCTTGCTTATTTACATTTCGTTTTACTCTTTTTGAATTGTCTGCCCTCCACTATAGAATGTATGACACATGAGGGCTATGTTCTTGTCTTATTTAGCAGAAACTCGTAAGTACATCCACAAGAGTCTGATAAATAGAAAATGCTCAATGAATATTTTTAAATGAAAAATAATTTGTGCCTTTGGATTTTTCCCAGATATAATGAATTAAGTGTGCATTCTGATATTTGCTTTTCTTCTTTGGACAATTGCATAGAAGCTATGTGCTGTTCAACTGTAGTCATCAATCAGGGAAAGAAATACAGGTTCTAGTTTCAAGCTTAGTTATCAATAATATATGCAATAGTGATAAAATTTTCTAATCTCTGTAGGCCACAATTTACCCACTCTTTATTAAATATGAGGTTTCAATGGAAAGATAAGAGAGTAAATTTACTAGGAAAATATCATGTAACTGGGCATCTATGTAGGCTCACTTGAAATTTGTGGTCACAACTTAAAGTAAGATCAGTCAGTATTTTTCTCCAGACACAATTTGGTCTAAAAATATAAATGTAGAGTAAGCTGAAAGTTACATTTAGCCAGAAGTCACTTTTGTTAGGTGAGAACAACAGAGAAGAGCAGCAAGAAAATTGAGGAGTAACCAAAGGAATAGTTATAATGATGGTTTGTGAAACCCTAGCTGGGTAAGTAGAGATGTGGAAAACTAATAAGGGATGGAGACAACTGTGAACATATGCTTTCATCAATGATTGGTGCTTCCAGTGGGGTCAAAGAAATTTTGAATAATAGACCTGTAGGTGATACTGAGAGAGTGAGATATATGAAGTGTTATTATGGAGTTAGTAAACATTGGTAATGACAAAAATCTATGGAATGATCATGTGAATGAATGGGTGTGAAGAGTAGAAGCCTTTTCTCTCTTATGACTCTTTGTCTCTTTACTCTCCTCCATTTATAACATAATTGTCTTAAGTATTTCTTCTGCCCGTATTGAGAACCACATCAGACAGTGTTATAATTTTTGTTGTGATCATCAAACATAATTTAGAAAACTTAGGGGAAGAAGAAAAATGTATTGTGCTTATCTGTATTTTTACTTCTCCTGTTTTACTTTTCTTTTTCCTGATGTTTCAAGATTCTTTCTTATGTTAATTATTTTATGTTTAAAGAACTTCCTTTAGCCATTCTTCTAGGGTGGATCTGCTGGTAACCAATTCTCTTAGTTTTCTTTCATCTGAGAATGTCTCAATTTCCTCTTCATTCCTGAAAGGTATTTTTGCTGGATATAAAATTTATAGTTGACCCTTTCCTTTATTAGCACTTAAAAGATTTTCTTTTGACCTCCATGATTTCTGATAAGAATTCTGCTATCATTTGAATTGGTTTTCTGTTTATAGGTAAGGTGCCATTTCTTTCTTACTGCTTTCAAATTTTTTCTTTATCCTTAGTTTTCAGAAATTCAATTATGATGCATCTTGATGTGGATGTCTTTGAGTTTATTCTATTTGTCATTTTCTGTAACACTACTGGAATACGTAGGTTTGGGTCTTTTGCAAAATTTGAAAAATTTTAAGCCATTATACGTTTGAGTACTTTATCAGCCCATCCTTTTTTCTTCTCTTTTTCTGGGACTCTGATGACACAAATGTTAGATCTTTTGTTGTAGTCCCATAGTTCCCTGAGTCTTTGTTTACTTTCTATCTATTTTCTCTCACTGTTAAAATGGGTTCTTTCTTTTGTTCCAGCCACAATGTTACTCATTTTTTCCTACGCCTTCTCCATTCTGCTGTTGAACCCACTCATTAAGTTTTTTGAGTTATATTTTTCAGTTCTAAGATTTCCATTTGCATCTTATTTGTATTTTTTATTTCTTTGCTGAGACCCTCCTTTTACAGCCAATCTGTAATTATATTAAGCATGTTAGGTGATATTATTCTCTTCTAACAAATTAACTCTGGAAACTCAATGTAGTATAACATAACATAGATTTATTTTGCACTTCCAGTATATTTCCAGTATAGTCTCTGCTCTCCATAGTCCCTCAAATCCCAGGCTGGTGGGAAGTATCACTATCTTATAGTCATGTCATGCAGAATATGCTACTGTGGGAGAGGAAGAGAGAGTTGCCAACTGTAATTTAAATTGACCTAGAAGAGACACATGATATTTTCTTTCATAGCCCATTGGAATGTACTGTTCAAAGTCTCATTTAACTTCAAGGGAGCTTGGAAGTGAGGTTTCCAATATGACCAAGAAATAGAAGAAAATTGGATATGGCTAAACACCAGCGTAAGGTCAAGCACTTTGACCATTCTGGCTCTCAAAACATCATTATTGTAAGTGTTCAATCAACAACCTAAATTAATCAAATGATGTAAATATGAATGCTAACTGTTCTGATCTGAGTCATTGGTCCCTTTGTGAATATCTTTGGCCTCAAGATAATGGACATTAACATCCTCAAATCATGCATAATGTAAATGAGTTTGGAAAAATTTTGTAAGGTGTAAGCATTAGACAAAAGTGAGATCTATATTTTGGTTTTTTAATAGACTGGATGTGAAGTAAATATATGAGATCATTCGATTTATTCTAGTATCCACTGATTTTTTTATTTAACAGACATCATTCGAAACAAGATGGGGACTGGAAACCACACAATGGTGACAGAATTTATTATTTTGGGGTTAACAGAGAATCCTACACTTTGTTCCATCTTCTTTGTGGTTTTTCTCGGAATCTATATTGCTACCATATTGGGCAATATCAGCATAATCATGTTAATCCAAAGAAGCCCTCAGCTTCACAATCCAATGTACCTTTTCCTCAGCCATTTGGCCTTTGTGGACATTGGGTATTCCACATCAGTCACATCTATTATGATTGTTAGTTTCCTAAGAGAGAGAACTACTATCCCTGTTGCTGGCTGTATAGCCCAGCTTGGCTCTGATGTTATCTTTGGAACAGCTGAGTGCTTCCTGCTGGCTGCTATGGCCTATGATCGCTATGTGGCCATCTGCTCCCCACTTCTCTACTCCACCCACATATCTCCCAAGGTCTGCATCATCCTATTGGTTGCTTCCTATTTGGGTGGATGTGTGAATGCTTCATCAGTTACCAGTTGTTTATTGAGCCTGACTTTCTGTGGACCAAATAAAATCAACCATTTCTTCTGTGACCTCCCACCACTAGTGAAGCTTTCTTGTACCCATATTTATGTTGCTGAAATATCTCCTGCCATCTCAGCTGGGTCAATCATTGTAATCACACTGTTTATCATAGTTGTTTCATATCTATACATCCTCCATTCGATTCTGAAGATGCACTCTACCGAGGGAAGGCATAAGGCCTTCTCTACCTGCACTTCCCATCTCACTGCAGTCATGTTGTTTTATGGGACAGTTACATTTGTTTATGTCATACCAAAGTCGAGCCACTCACCTGCCCCTATTAAAGTAGTATCTGTTCTACACAGTCGTAATCCCCATGTTGAACCCTCTGATCTATAGTCTGAGGAACAAAGAGGTGAAAGAGGCTATGAGAAAACTGATGGCTAGAACACACTGGTCATGTTGAAGGAAAGCCGATGTTGTTTCAGAAACTGCAAAATGATAGCTCCAGGAACATGTGACAGATATTTACGTCTTCTATTAGTCTTATCATTTTATGTGAAGAACTATCTTAAATAAAAAATGTCAGTTTGTTGATTAATGCCAATTTTAATTTATAATTTTCTAAAGTCACAAAATATATCATTTTCATGAAAATTTGCTGGATCCACATTACATGTGTATAGTTCAAGGCCAGGATACTTGGAGAATATAGTTTCACTTTTTCTCTTTTTGTTCATTATTTAGGAAGTCTGTGATTAGAGAGGGTTTCTTTGTCTTCTCTTAAGTTACATATTTTTAAAATGTCATCTTGTAAATTAACATCATGTCTTAGAAAGCATCATATACTCAATGGAACTGGAATTCATGGTAGTGTTGACAGTCCACGTCATTTTTCTCTGGAAGATCTTGACATCTCGTATACAAGATTATCATAATCTTTGGAAATAGAGATGCTGAAGTCTTACAAAAGTTTCATTCCCATCTAATTGGGGAGTGGTAAGAGTTGGGGATTAGGGCACAGTGGAACTTTCTTTCAGCAAGCTGGTTGGTATTACTAGGTCATAGAATTATGGATTAAAACACCCAGGCTGATGCAGGCATGGAATATACTTGCCAAAATCCTTCTTTGTAGTATCTATCAAGATGGTGTTCATTGCTACTTCTGTCACTGCTTTATTTTACATGTGTACTGTAAGGCTTGAGGGTTGGTTTCTTTTTTGTTTGTATTGCAAGTGCTGCCTGACTTAAGCTTTGATTGCTGAGGCATCCACTTCAAAGACTGCCATCCTGAATAAACACATTGCTGGCCACAGGACTAGACAGAGACCCAGGGAGACCCCCACCCCTAGGTTCCTTAGACAACTGACCATTTGGGCATCTAGAGTTTTCTCTTCCTGTGCTTTAAATTTCTACTCTTATGTTATAAGTTCAGTAGTAAAGAATGAGTCTGCTAAACCTCAGGCTCCCACATTCTACACCAAAAAAACTAGGACGTTAGGCCCACATACTTTTTCTCTCTCTGCCCCTGACTAAACTCTGCAAGAAAAAGACACAGAGTAGCTGAATGGGTAAAAAAAAACAAGATCCAAGGGCCAGTTCTGATTGTCTAGTGGTCAAAAATTTGGCACTCTCACCACTTCAATAGCCCAGGTTCATTTCCTGGTTGCAGAACCACACCATCATCTGTCAGTGGCCATGCTGCGGCAGCTGGTCACATAGAAGAACTAGAAGGACTTATAACTAGGATATACTATTATTCTCTGGGGCTTTGCGGAGGAAAAAGAAAAAGGAAGGTTGGCAACAGATGTTAGCTAAGAGTGAATCTTTCCCTGCAAACAAATAAACTAACAAAAACCCAAGATGCAGCTGCATGCTGTCTACAAGAAACTCACTTTAGAATCAAGGACACACATGTACTGAAAGTGTAAAGTTGCAGGATACAAAAATCAGGTGCAGTTCTATACACTGATAATGAACTATCCGAAAAGGAAATTAGGAAACAATCCCATTTACAATAACACCAAAAAGAATAAAATACCTAGGAATAAACTTAACTAAGGAAGTGAAAGACTTGTTTACTGAAAACTACAAAATATTGAGAAGAGAAATTAAACAAGATGAAAACAAATGTAAAAGCACACTGTGTTTTTGGGTTGGAAGAGTTAATATTGTTAAAATATCAGTATCCATACTACCCAAAGCAGATTCAATGCATTCATATCAAAATCCCAATGGAATTTTTTACATAAATAGAAAAAACAATTCTAAAATTTATATGGATCCACAAGGGACCCCAAATAGCCAAAATAGTCTTGAGAAAGAAGAACAAAGCTGTAGGCATCACTCTTCCTGACTTCAACATATGCTACAACATACATAATACAACATACATAATAACATACAGCATACAACATATAATTAAAACAGTATGGTTCTGGCATAAAGATAGATATATGAACCAATGAGTAGACTAGTGAGCCAAAAAACCCATGCATATACAGTTGACTAGATTTAGACAAGGGTGACAAGAATACACAGTGAGGAAAGGATAGTCTCTTCAATAAATGGTGCTGGGAAAACTGGATATCCACATGCAAAAGAATGAAACTGAAACTTTATCTCATACTGTACACAAAAATCAACTTGAAATAGATTAAAGACTTAAATATAAGACTTAAAACTGTAATTAAAAAACCCTAGAGGAAAACATAGTGGAAAACCTTCATGTCATTGATTTTAATGATTTCTTTGATATGACACTAAAAGCACAGGGAACAAAACCAAAAATAGACAAGTGAGACTACCTCAAACTAAAAAGCTTCTGCACAGCAAAAGAAACAAGCAACAGAGTAAAAGGCAACTACAGAATGGGAGAAAATATTTGCAAACCATGCATCTGATAAGGGGTTAATTTAAAATATATGGAAAACTCATATATCTCAATAGCAAAATAACTAATAACTTAATTAAAAAATGAGCTAAAGACTTGAAGAGACATTGCTTCAAAAAAGACATTGAAAAGGCCAAGAGGTTCATGGACAGATGCTAAACATCACTAATAATCAAGTAAATGCAAATCAAAACCCCAATGAGATATCATCTCACATGTGTTGGGATGGCTATTGTAAAAAAACCCACTAAAGACAAGTGTGGGTGAGGATGTGAAGAAAGAGGAAACTCTTGTACACTGTTGCTGGGAATGCAAAATTGTGCAGCCGCTATGGAAAACAGTATAGAGCTTCCTCAAGTAATCAAAAATAGAACTACCATATGATCCAGTAATCCCACCTCTAGATATTTATCTAAAAAAATTAAAATCAGTATCTCAAAGAGATATCAGCATTTCCATGTTCCTTGTAGCACTATTCGCAATACCAAAGATATGGAAGCAATCTAAATGTCCATCAGCAGATAAATGGATAAAAAATTTGGTATATACATACAATGAAATATTATTCAGTCTTAAAAAAGAAGAGAATTCTACAGTACGTGACAACGTGAATGAGCTTGAAGGGCATTATGTTAAGCGAAATAAGCCAGTCACAGAAGGACTAATACTGCATGATTCCAGTTTATGAGGTATCTAAAATAGTCAAATTCATAGACTCAAGAGTGGAATGATGGTTTCCAGGGGCTGATGTTAGAGTGAAATGGGGAGTTGCTAATCAACAGGCATGAAATTTCAGTTAATTAAGGTGAGTAAGTTCTAGAGATCTGCTGGAGAACATTGTCCCTATAGTTAACAATACCATATTGTATGCTTAAAAACCTGTTAAGAAGATTAGTCTCATTCTAAATGTTCTTAACACAATAAAATAAAAATTTTTAAGTAGATCCTTCATTTATTCACTATTCATTCATTTAGTATTGCTGTGCACTAGGCACTCTGCAATGTTTTAAGAATGAAGTGTTGAACAAGGCAGATGTGACCCCTCACTCTTGGAAGTTGTAGGACAGTAGGCAAAAAAAGATATTGAGCAATAACATACAACAGTACCTGTATAATTAAAAGTGTGATAAGTGCAAAACATATTTCATGGTTATCTGAAACTGTTCACCAGGAGAATATAACTTAGTCCATGATATCAGGAGGGGCTTCAATGGTGAAATAAACTTAAACCCAGAGATCTAAGGTAACAAGGAGTTAGTCTTCCATTGGAAGAGGGTGGAGTAATGAATATGACCATAAAATGGTTTGTAGTTGAGTAAAAATAAGGATGTGGGACTACCTATTTATCTTTAGTTCATAGCACTGTGTCTGATACATAGAAAGATTTTTTAATGGTTTAATACTAATTCAACAAATATTTAGTGCCTCTTATATTACCAGCACTGGTCCATTAAAGAGGGATACAAAAATAATTAGTCATAGACACTGTACCTTCACACCAGGGGAAGAGCAAGATCTTCAACTATATTGGGTACTATCAAGTGGTGTGAACAAAACGTTAGGAAGAGGACAGGGTGAAAGGGATCTAGTTCTCCCAGATGTGATCTGGGAAGTTTTTGTGGAATCAATGGCCACCTATTTGTATCATTCATTAGCCACAGTTGGGCTTCCTTAACACGTAAAGGAATTGTCTTTCTAGGAGAGGTGGAACCTCACAGCATGTCCATTTCATAATTTGTTGGACTTGAGGTATTTGAGCTGTCAGATCCTTCTAATGTGTATTATCAAGTTTAGCTTTGTTCTGAAGCTCCCTCAATCCCAGAATCAAAGGAACCTGACCTTCAACCTAGAGAATGTTCTGCTACACGGTCATGGTTCAGGAACACAACCAGAAACAATTATGGCCATGTGTCTCTGACAACCTGCCAGTCAGCGAGGCAGCTGTAGGTGGCAGAGTCATAAGAAAAATGTTAGTGTGAGTTTCATTGTTATATTAGAAGCGTCAATGTTGGTGGATCAGAGTTGGTAATGGGGAGAGGGAAGAGCATGTGTTAGAGAAATATTTACTCCCAACAAGCATGGTGTGTTTCTCAAGTGTCGTAGGACAAATCTATAACATACGTATAAAATACATATGATTTTTTTAAAATGTATATCACTTACCATGTTGAAAATAATATTTCAATTACATTGGATGCATGTTTATAAACCAAACTCTACTAGCAAACCCAAATTAACTCTAAACATAGGTTATGTGAAAAACTGCACCACTGAATATAGCCACATTTCAGAAATGCTACAAATTGCCACAGCCATATTAGCCATGTTAATCTAATGATAAATGTCAACGTCAGTAAAATGTTATGATTTTTTTCAATTGAATTAAGTTGAAACTTTCAATTTTTCATTTAATTAAAAAGTAAATGGAACCTCAGGGTATTTAGAAAATATTTCATGCATACACTTTTACATAATCATGTTTACATGTTATTTCTCGGTCCCAACAGATGTGTACATGTAATTTCTCTATCCCAATGGATTCTCAATGTAGTTTTCCAAAACAAGGGAGGTAATTAATTTGTAATTGTAGGTGAAGTAAATGATTTGAGCCTTATCTCAAATGACATAAATCCCTCTTAAATACGGCATTGCTGTAGAGTAACAATTGCTTGGAACCTATCCCTAGTGTTGCAGTGGATGTGTCACTAGCTTATACTTGTTGCTTTTTAAGGATACGGAAATATTTTATTCTCTCATATATACCAGAAGTTACAAGTTGATTATTTCACGCAAATTATTAGTAATCGAGCATTTATTTGCTGGGTAAACAGGGCTTGGTGTTTCCACCCAGATCATATCATTTAACACAAGAATCGCATGAGGTATGTATTATTATCCTCTTTTTACAGATAAGGAAAGTGAAGATCAAAAATTTTTGTAACTTGCCTGTGATTCCATAGACAGTGAGAGGCACAGCTAGAGACTGATCCCAGGTTTGCATGGCTTCAAGCCCATGATATTTCTGCCCATCACTTTGCCTTCCACGCTGGCAGTCATATCCAACTTTGAAAACATTTGTGTCTGTCGTACATCTGTTTTCCTTAAAAATATGAAATCTATTTCAGGTTTGGGTCTTTTTGTCATTAAAAAGTCAGAATTTGAGAACTCAGATACATAATCCTAGGACTATTCATACCATTGTCATGATTCACATGTAACATTGAGTAAAATGTGCGTGGTTGCTAACAGGTATGTATGTATGTTTTCTTAATTCTTCTTCAGATGGAGGTTCTTGAGGAAAAAGCAGATTATTCCTAAGAATATGTTGGTCTTTAAACTGAAGGAGCAATGGGAATGACTGAATGTGACTAGTATATTCTCCTTGGCCTTGATTCTGTGCTCTAGTTTGAATTAAGGGAATATTATTTTGAAATGCTCATCTTTCTTTCAATCTAATTCCCTAGCTTTCCTAGCTGGCTGCTTCCATCCCTACCTCCCTGACTATTCCCCCTTTCCCTATCACATGGCCCCTCTTATTTCCTTATAGTTGCTTAACAGATTGATGAAACCAAAATTTATGTAATGCAGGTCCCCAAATGTTTCAGTTTACTATTCATTTAATCCTAGTCAATGAAAATATCTAGGCTACTCTTATTGCTTCATGCAATCCTATAAATATGAAATTCTATGGTATAGGAGATAAGCCCTGGAAGGTTTTGCAAAATGGTCAGGATTTTTAACTCATAACAACAGTATAAATTCTATTTGGCTTTTTCATTTTTAACACGGACACTTTCTAGCCCTTAGTGTCAATTATTATAACTAAGGATGTGATTTCTTTTTTATTTCAGGAAAAGAATCAAGTAAGAAAGAGATATCAAAGTTGAGATCATATTTTTTGTCCTGATCAATTGGAAAATGGAGATAGCATTTACTAAGACGGACATTATAGGGTAGAGGCTCATTTGGCATGGGGATGGAAAATCAAGAGCTGGCTTTTCTATGACCAATTAGTTTATTTACAGTTTATGTTATTAAATCAATATTGCTGTAAACATTCTTTTACATATCTCTTGTTCACAAGGGAAAGACTTACTCCATGGTATACAAATATGAGTAAAATAGGTGGGTCCTAAGGTAATTGTGTCTTCAATTTTAAGCTTTCCATGGAATTTGAAAAGAAAATTTGTGTGCGCAAAATATTCTATAAGTGAGACAAATTTACCATTTAAAACTTTGTAAGATTATGTTTAGGTACATACGTTAAATGCGGTGTCATTTCAGCCAGTTTAATCTCCTCTGGTTCTGATTTCAATAGGCACCATTAAATGGATAAATGGAGACTGAAAACCATACAACAGTGACAGAGTTCATTATTCTGGGACTAACAGATAATCCCACACTGCGTGCCATCTTCTTTGTGATTTTTCTAGGAGTTTATATAGTTACCATAGTGGGAAATATTAGCATAATCATTTTAATCCGAAGCAGCCCACAACTTCACACCCCAATGTACCTTTTTCTCAGCCATTTGGCCTTTGTGGACATTGGGTATTCCACATCAGTCACGCCAATCATGCTTATGAGTTTCTTAAGAGAAAGAACTACTATCCCTGTCGCTGGCTGTATAGCCCAGCTTGGCTCTGATGTCACTTTTGGGACTACAGAGTGCTTCCTGCTGGCCACCATGGCCTATGATCGCTATGTGGCCATCTGCTCTCCCCTGCTCTACTCCACACAGATGTCCCCCGTGGTCTGCTTCCTCCTACTGGGGGCCTCCTACCTGGGTGGATGCATGAATGCTTCATCTTTTACAGGCTGTTTGATGAATCTATCCTTCTGCGGACCAAATAAAATCAACCATTTTTTCTGTGACCTCTTCCCACTTTTGAAGCTTTCTTGTGGTCATGTTTATATTGCTGAAATCTCTCCTGCCATCTCCTCTGCCTCAGTCCTTATAAGCACGCTGTTCACCATAATTGTGTCCTACAGCTACATCCTGCACTCAATCCTGAATATGCGATCAACTGAGGGGAGGAAGAAGGCTTTCTCTACCTGCACGTCCCACCTCACAGCAGTCACTTTGTTTTACGGGACAGTTTTGTTTGTTTATGTGATGCCCAAATCGAGCTATTCAGCTGATCAGGTCAAAGTGACATCTGTGATCTACACAGTGGTGGTCCCCATGTTGAACCCCCTCATCTACAGTCTGAGGAACAAGGAAGTGAAAGAAGCCATGAGAAAACTAATGTCTAGAACACGTTGTTTTTCCTAAATTAAATCAGATATAAATCTGTAAATAACCAACCAATGATTTTGGGAACATTCGTGATGGATATCTTAATGATATTTCTCATTAACTTTATCACTTTTATAGTGAAGAACTCCCACATATATAAGGAACCAATGTTTACTTCCATTTATAAAGTTAAATATATCATTAATATGGATATCTGCTTGATTTCAATTAAATATAGATTTTTCAAGGTAAGAATACCTTTGGAAGATAGTTTCTACTTAAAAACCTCATTCACCGATTATAGAGTCCTATTTAAATAGAGATATATTTCAGCCAAAGATCACATTTCATTGAATTCTCTCTTGTAAAATAACACTTTGGAAAGAAATTTTTCCACAACAGACATGTACTATTGACAAGTCAGGCAGTTCAGGTCACTTCCTTTAAAGGTACTTCCCTGTCTTGGTCGATGGATCTTTAAACTTTTGGAAACATTGATGCTAGTGTCTTAGAAAAGATTCTGTTTATTTTCACTTTATGTAACCAGAGCAAAGATCATGATCTTGTATGACCACTAAGAGCTCCAACCCTGATAATACAGAAGAAACTTTGTATAAATCTCAGCTGACTCTTCTCACAATGTAAGTCTTACCACATGACTACTAGGGTAGGATTTGGAAGCTGGCATTTCTTTGGAGTAGGATCCTGGGACGGTGGGACTTCCTTTCAACAATAGTTGATAGATAGGGGGCATGAAATGATGGTTCAGGCAAAGAATATATCTACACACATTTTGTAATGTCTCCTAAGGAGGTGTCCACGGTACTGCTTCTTCTGCTGACCTTTTTGAAGGTGCTTGTGATCCAATCTGGTTATGGCAATGGCTTCTAAATTGATTCCCTGCCCTCTGCACTCCATTAACAATGATTCATGATTAATATTTTAGCTAATATATTTTATTATTAACGTGTTAATAGTGTCAGACAAATTCTGAGACAGTTTTGAGGGAACACTTTACAAGCTGACCTCGTATTCCTGGGTTCTTCACTGACCAGAGGAAGGAAACCTCCTGCTTTCCTGCCTGGAAGTCACTTTGTGGAATTTCTCTGGTTCTGTTTCCCTGTTTGTATCTCTTTGCATCAATTATGGGTGTATAATCCAACCAGTGCAATAACTTTGGGCTAAAGTCAGTGTAGACATGGCCATTTGTAGAGAGAGGGCATTTAAAGGTGTGACTCCAGTCTTGGAAAGTGCTATCTTAGAGTTGTGGTGGGAGCTCTGCACTCTGGAGGTTGAGGTTTTCATTCACTGTTTCTAGTACTCTTCCTCTTTATCCTTCCCCTTATACGTTGCTTTTCACCAGGGTTCATTCTCTGCCCTCTACTCTTCTCCCCATCACCCATGGTCCCCTTGGGTAACCTCATATTCTCCCATGAACTCAGCTGCTATCTGTATGTTGACAGTATGCTTATCTCCAAATACAACCTTCTTTAGAGGACAGATGAACTTCTTCACGGGCCTTTTCCCAAGACTCTCAAACTCAGTGTGCCCCAACTGAATTTATCATATTTATCCTCAAGCTATTCCTTTCCCAATAAATGGCAACTCTTTGTGAAGTCTAGTATTCCAAGAAATTTGGGGCAATCCTCACGGCATATCCGTCAAAATGGTCTGCTTTCCTCCATCTCTTTCCTTTTCTCACATGGAAGGCATGTCGCATACTGACCACTTCCTTATCTAAGTCTCTTTTATCTAGGGGCTTCAAGACTCCCAAGTTAATTACGATAAGTCCAGGCAGAGACTTTTCCTTTGTATTTCCACTCTAAGAGATTCAGATAATTCAATCACCTGGATGTAGAAGGTGTGGTGTGGCACTGTTAGAGTCCTTATTGGAGAGGGAATACGTTGATAATCATTTTCCGCTCCCAAGTTCTAAATCAACTGAGGGAATGACAAAAAAGAGAAGGTACATAGGAGAGCAAATATTACCTGTACAAACGAAAGAGCTGATATTAGAGAATGTGGCACACATGTGTGGACTCATGTGTTTTTGTGCTCTGGTCCCAGAATTTGATGCTCTTTCCTTCTCTGTCACTGGTGGTGCTGGAAACACTTAGGTCTCTCCAGTCAGACTAGGCCTTTGCCCATCAGCTTCCAGCATGGCCAAGAACAGCCAGGAGCACTGAGGACAGGCTCACTATCAAGAGAAAGCAGGAAGAAGAAGGCCTGGGATTGCTGTTATGGGTTGAAATTGTCCCTCAAGAATTCATGTGTTGAAGTCCTAGGCACTAATACCTCAGAATGTGACCTTCTCTTGGAATAAGGTTGTTGCAGATGTAATTAGTTAAGATGAAGTCCTACTGGTGTAGGGTGGGCTTCTAATCCAATATGACTGATATTCTTCTTTTAAAAAAAGGGAGAATTTGGACACAAACAACACACAGGGAGAATAGAATGTGAAAATAAAGACAGAGATATGGGTTTTACTTCTGCAAGCCAAAAAACTCCGAAGATTGCCAGCAAACCACTCGAAGCTAAGCGAGAGGCATGGAACAGATCTCATAGCCCCCAGAAGGAACCAACCCTGCTGACACCTTGATCTTGACTTTCTTGTCTCCAGAACTTGAGACAATAAATTTCTGTCATTTAAACCACACAGTTTGTGGTACTTTGTTACAATTTCCCTGACAAACTAATACTATTGCATTGGATATTAGATTCCCCTCCAATTTACCATCAGCTAATCTAATCCTTCTAGGGGAGGAGGGAGTGAAGGGTTAGAAAGATGTCAGGTGTGTTATACTAGTGGATGTCTCTCCAAAAAGAGGCTGAGGAATATTAGGAACGGTAAAAAGCATATTCCCCCAGCAGTGTGTCAAAAAATAAGGATCGAGGATATCTCTGTGGGAACAATCAAAAACTCCTTTCATAAGACTTCTTTTTGGAAGTTTCCTGCTTACTATGGATTGCAGATTGCTTCTTAGAAGGCAGGGATTTGAACTGGAAGAAATTGTAAAAGATCTTAAACTGTTGTGTTGTTAAAAGGTTCTCAGTCTATATAAATTGCAGGAAAATTTTCTTCTTCTGAAGTGGATTGGGACTTATGGAGTCATTGACATTTCTCAGGTTCTGTGAAGCACTTACCTGTAGTGGAGTTTTGGAGAAGAAATTGAAAGCAAAGGGACAAGAGGTAATTCTTGGGGGTGAGGAAATCATTGTATATTGTGATTGAGGTGGTGGTTATACAAGTGCATACATTTGTCAGAAGTCATCAACCTGTATACTTAAATTGTGTCTCTGTAAATTATACTTCAATAAAATTGCTATTTTAGGAGATTCTACAAGAGAGCACTCTTTCTTTCTCATTTTAATCTGAGACTACAGGCAGTAGAGACAGTATCATCATTTACCTCTCGATGTAGACTGGTTCTATTTCTTAATTATTCCTCAAAGCTGTTCCCTCACCTCTTGGACCTCCTCTAGTTTCCCATATATTTATTTTTCGTGCCCTTCATTCCTTTCTTTAACTCTATGCCTATACCAGCATTGATTTTTCTTTTGCTTAAACCATTCTTTTTTTTCTTTTAATGCAGATTTGCTGGTGATGATTTTTAACAGTATTTTGTCATAAAAAGTCCTTATTGCACTTTCATTTTTGAGAGAGATTTGTATATGGGGTAGAATTCTAGGTTACAAGCTAAAAGAATTGAGCACTTTTAAGATTCAGTTGTTTTCTTGCTTCTATCATTTCCTTCAAAAACTCAGCTATCAATCTTTCTTCTTTCTCTCTCTCTCTTTTGAAGGGAATATGTTTTTTATTTCCCTCTGGAAGCTTCTAACATTTTGTTTTGCTTTTGGCTTCCTGTCGTCTTTTTATGATTTTCCTCTGTGTGGTTGTTCTTATCCTTATCATGCTTGGAATTTGCAGAGTTTCTTGAATTTGTAGCTCATAGTCTTTGACCAGTTTGGAAAATTATCACTGAATATTTCTTCAGAAATTTCTTCTACTGCTCCTTTTTTACTTGAACTTCAATTACACATATGTTAGATCTTTTCACAATTTCCTATATAGCTCTCATACTCTACTTATATTTTCGATAATTTTTCCCTCCATCCTATAATATATATGTTTTCTACTGACCTATTTTTCAGTATACTAATTCTCCTTTTTCATCTCTCCAATCTACTATTAACCTATCTGCTGAATTCCTAATTTTATTCTTCATTTCTAAGACTTAAACTCGATTCTTTTTCTTTTTTTTGTTTTTCTTTTGTAGTCAGTTCTCTGGTGTGATTCTTCATTTTATTCTTCTATTTTTCTTAGATATATTTTTAATATTTGTTTTGAAGTACCTGGTTTTTATTCTTTTGGTCCTGTTTATTGACATATCTTGTCATTTATTTTTTAGTGAATGATGGACAATATGGATAAAAATTGTAGAGTCTCTAGATGAGATTATTTTCTTTCAAAATGTGTTCAATTTTATTTTAGCAGGAAGATAGAGCACTGGACTGATCCTTTTGAGGAAATGTAAATAAGAACTGATGTCTCCATGTCCAGTATAACCCCTGAATTTGCATCCTAGTGGAATGGTGGTGGTGTTTTCAGCGTAGGTTGGGGGTTGTGATTTGTTGGGGATAATCTATTTCTGGTTTGACCTTATTTCTGGGATGTAGCAATTTCTCCTAAAATGTGGTCCTTCAGGACTCTCAAATAAAAGCACAACATGTTATGGGTCCCCTCTAACTTAAATGACCTATCTATTAAACTTTTTCAAACGAGCACTGCAAAATGCCAGAATCTCTGCTAAGATCTTCAGCCTCCCACAGGCTGATTTCCATTTGGTGTTTTGATATTTCATCAGACCGTGTGCAGCTTGGGACTAGTCAAATTCATTAATGAAAAATTACACATAGAATTCCATGCTTACTTCTCTACTTCACTTATCTTTTTTCTTCTCCAGAATCTTGGCCTCACAAGTCTTAGCTGCCTTGGCATTCTTGACCTCAAGTGAATATATACTCACCCTGCCACACTGCCTAAAGCCCCAGGCTGTAGCTCTTTTCTCAGTCTCTGTTCCTCATATATCATTTGGAAAATGCATTTGTTTGTGAGGCTCAAGGAAGCCTTTACTGGGGAAATG